CCCCCCCCCCCCCCTCCTTGTCTACTTGCTTGCTTGTCTGGTTCCCCAAAGAAACGCAGAACCATTGTACGAGCAGCCCCCATTGCTGCTACAGCGATCTCATGCGTGCCTCGGGCTGCCTGCTATTTTTCAGAGCCGCGGTGCTGGTCTCTGTCGGCGCCAGCGACCATGATTCTCTCCAAGATGATAACGGCCGAAAGTTGGCCGAGCTGTCACACTCCCTCTCGGCCGGCATTCGCGGGTCCCGCGCCGACGACCTCCCCCGCAAGCGATCGTGGCGGAGAGAGTTGACCAACAACGGCCATAGCGACAAGAGCGGGCACGGGAGCTCCAGCGACAGCAGCAGTAGTGACGAAGGACAAGATGGCGGTGGGCGTCACCACCGTGGTGGCGGTGGAGGGAGTGGTGGGACTGGCTTCCTCTGCGAGAACGGCATTTTGGAAGGCGGATACTGCTGCTCGGTGAGACAATAAAAAAAAACTAGTTATGACGGTGCTGAAAAATGACTTTCACGAGCCGAATTGGGTTCACCACATGGGTTCACGTTTCTGCAGGGAAAACGTGTCGAGATCCCTTTTCTCCACGACTGGCATCATTTGTGTACTAATGAGGCGTCGGCATTGTGTCACCCTCCCCCAAAGAAAAAACGTAGAATTTTTCATGTTATCGTCACCGCCTTTGAACATTACCCAATCTGACCGACAGAAAATGTGCGGCGAGGGCGGGTGCGGAGGTACCGGTTGCGGTTCGAGGAATGACGTTACGACGGCGGATGACTGTTGCTTCTCCCACATCACCGAACTCTGCTCCGTCAAAGGCTGTGCCCCATGCATGATGGATGGTACGTGTTTCTTCACAAACTGTTTCACATGTAAACAGGAACCTAGCCCGTTACCATGAAGACCGCTGCTTCTGATAACGGTTATCGCGAAAACTGATTACAAAGTACCAGTCAGCCCCAACAAGGATCAGAAAAAGCGACTATTCCTCGTGATAATAATGGCTACGCGGACGCATGCATACGTACCTCCTCCAGATGGGACGACCGTCTTTACCGTTTGGTTCTCCACATAATTGCGAGTGCGTACACCACCCACGTAGAGTAGCTGACAGTATCGACGGCAACACGCTGAAGAAAACACACCTGATTCCTGCGGCGATCTCTTGGTGACACTCATAATGTCGGGTACCGCACATCCACGTGGGTTTGTACCGCACATCCACGTGGGTTTGTAATCTTCTAAATTCATTCTACTGGAGCTTGTTGGGGGAGGGGGGGGGTGTACTCATAGTCGTGCATGCCGTAGTCGTTAGACCATTGACCTCGCATCCCTACAAAGCCGGGACGGAGCACGCCGGGTTCTCACCGGACCAGGCTCTCACATCACCAAGCGCGAAGCGCCGTGAGATATTCGGCGAGTCGCATGAAGGGTGCGCTGCATCCTGCTAAGGGTGTTCGGCATCTTGTGCTTACTTCCTTGCGTACGGATGACAGCTGCGTATGACTTAATTTATTTTCTGGTGCTTTCACTTCCAGAGACAGTTGTAAGCACTGTGTAACTGCCTCGAGGGTGCTTGACCATTTTAACACAACGTGGTGCGATCATCCCCCTTGCGCGGAGTGAGGGTTCTCGACCCCGCACAACATGATCTACTCGACCACCAGTCATGGTTACCGTCAAAAAAAAAAAAAATGGAGGTAAC